TGACTACAAACCTTCTGGCGAGACTATGATTAATTAAAAATTAAAAAATGGCTTTTTTTAATATTCCAATGTTGGGAAGTCTGTTTTTTTCCTGGCGTAACTACTGGATAGGGAGGTATAAACAGGTATCTGTTGTACTGGTTATTCGCACCGATTTGTTTAATAAATAAATATTATATCAAATAAGAAGCTGTCGTTGCTAACATGATGTAATATGGTTGCCTGCAAAAAACCTTACTGTATTGATGGTTGGCAGGTTTTTAAGAGCGAAATTTATTGAGCAGTTGTACAATGTATAAAATAATAATATTGTAACACGCTGTATAGTACTATTATTACTATTTGACAGTTACATGACTTAACTCAAACTGTGACCTACCACCACGAAGATAGGAGGTTAAACTACGGATAGGAGGGATTTACGAATTCGTATGAAGCCAATCCTGTCGCCAAGGAGGGCGTGGCTCTTGGAAATTTCGTGGGTGTAGAAAATTGCTTACAGAGTCTGCGCCTTGAAAAATATGAACATAACCTTTTACCATTTTATTACTTCGTGGTTTATTAATATTACCCAATATTTCTGCTTGCAACTCTTCCAAACAATCAACCTTACAGTTGTTTAGTCATGATGACAGCAACAGAGAGAAAATTCATTTTTTTGCTCAGTGTACACACGAGAGATTCCCTATGCGCAGCACCTGACATTCATTTGCCGCGCGGTGTACCAACTCACTCCACTCCATTAGTTTGAATTCCTATCTCTAGTCTTGCTACCTCCTACCAGAGTACCACACCAGACACGGTGTTACATAGTATTATTTTAACCATAGTTGGTTTGTTCGTGCAGTAGTCGGTAACTTGTCGGTGACTGTCAAAATGAGAATCAGAGAGATGTTACCTGTACAGTTTCTGACAGTTTGCGGACAGCTAATCCGCTGTTCGTACAGAACCTTCTGACAGATCAGAGGACACCAGTCAACCAGTGACAGTGACAGGTATCAGAGTGTGTCGGAACTATCTTGAGGGCTAAAATTGCTTCGCAAGAGTCATTTAATGAACTTTTCTCTAATGGACGGTCTGAGAACACCTTCGTACCAACGGGCCGCTGGCGATATATCTATGCCAACGGCCTTTGCTCCTCAGAGCTCTCTTCCATGGTGTCGCCCCGCGATGTGCCTACCTGACTTCGGCCTCCCATCGTAAGCGTGTCGAACTTCGTACATCCAGAACTGGCCGATATGACCGCTTCTTTGTCGAGATCGTGTAACAACCTACATGAGGAGATTTTCCCAGTTCTACCAACTATAGGCAGTTCAAAAATGGGAATTACAAAGTTTATTCCAGCTCCTGAGAGCAGCCGCGGTGCCTTGGCATGCAGGGTTCACCTGCGCGGCTGCTTCGGTAAAAAAAAAATGAAACCCAAAAACCTTAATTTTGTACAGAATCAGTGCCACAATTCAATAGAAGCAAGTTTTTGTAACATTTTCAGGTGAGCAAGTGGCAGAAGAAATTTTAATGAAATTCGATTTTAAATATCAGCCAGCGCCAAAGTGCTTTATGCTCAATATTTTGTTTATTGACCCGGTAGTGGCAAAATGAAGATTATGAATACAGTATGAAAAATCCGAACAATAGAGGACATAACTTTCAAGAGCCATAATTAATACGATTTTTGTGATCACTAATCTTTTGCAAATATTTGTTACAGTTGCAAAATGCGTAATTACGCGATTTATGTCTTACTTCTATGTATTTTCGTAGTCTCAGTTCTTTTTGTCCATGTTGAGAACTCTGTGAAACTTATAGCTATGTCAGCAGATCTTGATAGTTGTAGTTATGTTCAGCCGTTTTAGCTTTTTAGTAAGAGTGTGCATATCTAATTTGTCACTCACCATTGGGATCTTGGAAACTGTAAGGGATACGAAGTCTCTTAAATGGGGTAGTTAACAAAATGACACTTAGAAAGTTTCGAAATTTAAAGTACATACTTCCGGAGAGTGAGGAAAAAACTGAATTTTCCCAAAATTGTTCTAATTTTTTCCTGACTTTATTTATATTGGGATTTTAAAATAATTTGCACATTAACAGTGCCACGTTTTCGCCTCTACAAGAAGGTATAATGAGAATTTCTATATGACGGTTCGTCTCTTGTGCTCGAGCATCAAGTTTATTATTTCTTAAGGACGCTATAGTGCATTTTTGAACAGATAAATAGAGTTTTCAATTTTGATTCAAAAAATGCATGATACGTCATACATTGAAGTTGTCAAACCTTGATTACTTTAAGAAAAACAGAATTTCTTAGGTAGGCCTTGAAATCATCAGATGTTTGTTTCGCTCACCAGATTTACCTATCCCAAAACCGCTCTATTTTTTCCCGACTCTATTCGAGATGCAATTTCAAAATAAATTGCATATTGTCATTGTTACTTATTCTCGTCTGCAAGATGGCGTAGTCAAATTTTCAATTCGACATTTCTTCTTTCGATTTCCATCATCAAATTTGTTTTTTTAACGGACACTATATCGGAATTTTTTACATTTAAATGGACTTTTTAAGCACTAAGTTCAGTGATTGTTAGTTGAGCATAAATTTGTTGTTGGATCAAAATTAAAAGGAAATAAAAAGATATGGTGAAACCTGAATACGAAATGAAAATTTTATTGATGGTAATAACAATAATAACCATAAATAAGCAGAGATATTCACTGTCTTCCAAACTGTGTTGCTATGCAAACAAATGAAATCTAATAATTTCTAGGCCTACCTAGAAACTTCTTTAATAACTAAGGTTTTGCAATGTCAATGTATGACATACATTTTTTAAATCAGAATAAAAATTAAGTTGATGCTGGAGGACAAGAGAAGAAACGTCACACTGAATTTCTAATTGTGCCGTTTTGTAAAGGAGAAAATGTGGCAGAGTTTATGTGCAATTTATTTTGAAATCACACCACAAATAAAGTCGGGAGAAAATTAAAACCATTTTGGGAAATTTCGTTTTTTACGACTCTTTCCGGAAGTACTTTCAATTTCAAAACTTTCAAAGCGACATTTTGCTGATTATCTGAATACGCAACTTTGCAGCTATTTAAGTGACTTCGTATTCCTTGAAGTTTCCGAGATCGCAATGGTGAGGGTCGAATTTAAAATACCCTGTATATATAGATAGCTAGAATATATAAATACTGTTTGTGCATACACTTCGAGGCTGGGCGACAAGGGAACAGGGAACAAAAACCCTACTATCCGATTTTCATTAAAAGTCATTCTCAATACTTTTTATATTTCTCATGCATAAGCACTGCAGACGTTTATTCAGAATTCTTACTATATATTTACTTCTTTAACTTGTCATTCGATGTGTGGATTCATATTTCTTAGAATTTATGTTTATACTTTATATATGAGAATTGAATGGTAATTACTGAGTAAACCTACTTGACCTTTTTGGGTGCTGTTATTTTTTCTAGAAAGTGTCTATGTTTTCCTCTCTAAAGGAAAATTCGGGCACATTTTCACAGTATGACGAAAAATCCTAGATCATTCTGGTTTACAGCAAATGAACCCCCAACTTTTTCAAAATTGTCTACTTCATTCTGAAAAATTTTACATTCGAATAATTATTGTACTTGATTTCGAGCTCTGAAAATTTACTGGAAAATTACTTGCTGACTGATTTGACAGTCATCAAACAGTCAGAAGTTTCTGTACGAACAGCGGATTAGTTGTTGGCAATCGGTCTGACCTCCTTCAGCCAACTCGTAACGCTCTCATGTACGCAATTAATACAGTCAGCGAAGTTTCAGTGACAGCTAACTGAGTAAACTAGGTCATGACTTGTCACCGAGTATCAGTTTGCTGATTATCAGCAAACAGGCTGTACGAACAAACCAAGTGTCGCCGGAAGTTTTTTTGCCAATCCACTCGCGATATACATATTTTTAAACATCCTAAATTTGATATAATAGTCCAGTTAAATAGCCGAAACTGAGACAAAAGTGATAACATAGCCACAAAGTTATTTCCGCTGGCGTAATGGTGTAATAAAGGATTGCGAATATTGTTGTGTGAATTTGGTTTTCCGGAAACCAGCCGTTTTTTGTAAAACAGCGAAAAACTCGAAAAACCTCTTTTTCGCTGAAACGGCTGAGGATATCTGGGATTTTTTTACACGAAAATTTTTCTAATTTTTGGGCCATCAATAAAGGTCTCTACAAATTTTTCGCTAAATTGCTTAGTTTTCGCGCTACAGCTTGCTGATGGCTTGTGGGCGAGGGGGTTTGCGGGGAAAGGGACGCGCGTACACCTGTCGCCAGACGCCGCACCATTGAAGCGGAACGATCCTCTTTTATTTCGACGTCCTCAGTGTCTCTCTCAGTGATAGGCCAGTCGATTTCGAATAATAAGCTCGTTTGTATTTGTGGCGTTCACCGACTTATGCATATTAATGAATTTTTGAAATTTCTGCGTTTAGAGTACAAGATGCAGTAATTTTTCTTCAGCCGCTTACCGATTGACTGGATAAGTGAGGTATAATATTTTCATTTAGAATTGGAACAACAATAAAAAACCTACAGCTGTAAAAAAGGTGTGAACGTGTATATAAATGAGTGGCAATGATAAGAATACATTACAGGATGTAGAAGCCCAATGAGTCATCAAAAGACTCGCTTTCGAGGCTCCACGTTATTTTCATAGTTATCCTCGCAAATCAGTTTGATCACCGGTAGTTGTTAATCTACGATCATGATAAGAGATTTAGCAGTTTTTGAGCCGCGTCTATACGTTGGTCTGACCTACGCCAACGCAACTATGTAAAGAATAGACAATGGCCGATGGTGATGAGTATTTGACGATATCTTCTCTGCACACTCGCTGTGGAAAAACATTACTCCATTATATTTTAATCGAGATAAGAAATTATATACAAACCATTAATTGGAAGTTGCATCAATTTTTTATATTTTCTATTTTGATAGAGTATAACAAATTATTTTTGTGTTCAAATATGTTTGTTTTACATTTGTTACTTTACATTTCACACATATAGTTGTACAAAAACCCTCACTTGAGCCAATGAAACCTACAATAGCATGTAAGAAGAATTGAAAGTATATACAGTTCAATGTTATATCCACCCCAATCTGTTACAAGTAGGATAAATCATTGAAGGTCAAAGTCATTAAAGTCCTTCGTTAATTTCCTCGTCATCGGTCGTTGCATCGTGGCTGCTTGATGAGGTCTCATCATCTTCTGTTAAGTCATCATTATCGGGTTCTACGGTAGTTTGTCCACCGTCCTCCTCACATGCATCTGTAGTAGTCGGAGTTTCGCTATCATGGTGTTCTGTAGCAGTCCATCTCTGAGTTGTTGCACGATTTTCCGCGGCATACTTTACAAGCAGGGTTGCACTTTAGACCGGCTTTTCGGCAGTTACATCGCTTCGATTTGCAGGGCCCTTGGCATCCACAGGAAACCTGAAAAAAGGTTATCATAAGAATTATTATAATCTAAATATCAGTTGTCTTGTAAGGGAAATCAATGACAGGCCTTTTATAGTGCTCCATAGATCAGTCTAAAAAGTTGTTATTTTGACTTGAAACTGGATCTCTCATTGTTCAAAAATTAATTTAATTCCGGTCAGACAGTACATGAGATCAAAAGTGTCATAAAAATTAGTTGTAGCAAGTTGTATTTATTGCTTCAAATTGAATACATTTCACACATACCTCTTGTAACAGTTCTTTTGGTGCGGGATCTGCTTCAGACATGATCGGAATGAGAATATTACCCTGTCTTGTCCATCCCCACAAGCAGGGATCTAATCTATGCTGAAGCCACACCTGGATTTGATAGTACACTCGTTTACAGTGCTGAAGCAAGGCAGGAGATGTTGGTGGGAGACATTCTAGGGGCGTTTCCTTTTTTGCCTTTGCTAAGTTTGTAGAAAACAAATTGTATCTGAAAGTCCCGAGAGAAGAAGACTGTTCTTTGTCTTTGTATAGTGCGAGAGTAATCGTCTCTGCACATTGCAGCAATTCATCTTCCAAGCAGTCCGGCTCGTAAAACTTCAGCGCCAGCGCTCTAATGCTGTCGTTCTGCAGCAGCAACTTCACCAGCTTCATCTTCCCTTTCCCAAAAAAGCAACTAGTAGTGTCGCAGCCCGCAAAGGCATGAGCAAAAAGTAGAAATGGTTGCAAATGTTTGTGATCTCGAGTATCGTACAATTGGTTCGCCTTGCCCCCCTGGCCCATCTTGTAATAGTACATGCTCTCTGAGGTTGGAGTGAGTCCAATAAGTAATATTAAGAGATCAACATCCGAGCCGACGACTATAACTCGTGATTTCCCGTGACGAAACGATTCGTTATGAGTCTTCAGAGCTGTTCTCACAATCTCAACATCCGCATCCTCTTTCGCATGGATCACGGTAAAACTGAATCCCTCATATGTTGCAAGAGTTTGACCAAGGTGATAAACAAATTGAGCCTTGTTTTTCACGTTGGACAAAAATGTCCTTTGGTTCAATGGGACGAGATTGTCTGGTTCAATTTCAACGTCCACGCCACAATTTCTTTCTTGTCTACGGTCTCGCTCGTATGATTTGACACCTATATGTTCATCTTCATATCCGTCGAAAACAATAATGACGCTCCGACCAAACCGCTGAACAAGAAAGTTCTTGTACATATCAAAGATTGCACGGTATGTCTTACTATGAGGCCAGACGAGGCTGTGAAGCAACCATCCTCCGTCTACAACAAACTGAGAATCTTCAAAAAATGCTCGTGAGGATAGGGTAGTAGTGAACATTTTATATAACTGTGACTTGTCGGTCTTTCGCATTGATCCTTTCTCGTCGAACAAACTAAGTGGAACAGGAGACATTTCGTAGTCGAAGCAAGATTTACTCAACTCTTTCCTTCCACGCATAGCCACAGACAGACGTTGAAATAATAGAGAGGTATCAACAGTGACAGTGGAAGACATAGCTTTTTGAGATTGTGTCCGTGCAAAGTCCAAATTCTTGATCTTGTACGATTTTGACAGCGACACCTTTTCATAAGTGCGTCCAACTATATGACACATTGATTGTGTGCCACGCTCGAAAGCCATATGACAATTTATTTCCACACCACCAACAACTCCAGTTGACAGCGAAATTCATTCCTCGCGGACTTTGAATGGTTCATGCCCCTTCAACCAAGTAACGAATGAGGCAATGTCCTTTGCGTCCCATGCTTTTCGTCCTTTGCCCAAATCAACATGCTGCTCACTGTTTCTCGTCTCCAGGTTACAATACTCTTCCAATGCTTGCATCACATGCACGGCGCAAGGCATCCCCAGCAAATATCGAGACACGACACTCCGCGTAACACCTCTTCCGTGTTTCAAGTCAGTCCCAAAAAACCTATTCAATGTCTGCGCTCGATTGTCATGTCACTCCAGATTCCGGACCAAGCCTTATCCGACCTGTGGATAGTGAAATAACCCTGCGTGGCAAACTGGTGAAACTCTTGAGGATCCATGATGTCCTGTAGAAGTACCATATCCTGCAAATAAATCTGAGCTGCTTTTGCATATTGAAAATGTCCCGCGGGATGAAACAATGGCAACATTCTTCGAACGCAATCAAGATGAAGGTCCCAGTTTCCAAGACGTTCTGCTTCAATAAAACGCAAGACAATAAGCACGGCTTCAATGTACTGCACCCACAACTTGGCTGTTGGGCCGTTATTTTTCAATTGCTTCAACTTTGTATAAAACAAATCAGACATTGTCTTCAGGTCCTTATCAGAGTCACTGTCCCCTAGCTTGAGAGGATTTTTCTGCCAGACACGCATCAATGATGACATTAAAATCATGATGACTTTTGAAGCATACACGTATATCTTTTCCCCCCATTATACTGCACTCAACTTCCTCACCGTAACGTTTTTTAATGTGATCTGCTACAGTCCTTCTATCTATAGAGTCATCATCCACAAGTTCTACTAACTTCGACAAATAATGAATAACATTTTTGTCTTCTTCAAGAACTTGTCACACAGGTTCTAACAATCGATTCTAGACCAGTTTAGATCATCGATATTTTTTTTAAACCATACGCATTGAAATGAGACATGCATGTCCGGTGGTATCTGCCTTGTACGCGAATTAAGCAAGAAATGTTCTCTAATCTTTCAACAACGCTAATTCCCAAAGAGTCATTTCTTTCCTTTCCCATTGCAATCAAGTTATCACGCGTCTCTTTTTGTGTGACTGTACAGATTTTTGATTTCGCATCTTTTATTATACTCAAACCACAAATGAAGCAATTATCCGCGTAATGGAAATCAGGAACCTCATCCCTTGCAGCTACGACATTGTTATTTAGTGCATTCAACGCAAAATGCTGAGTATACGTTCCACTGACCGAGTATGAAAGTCTACACTTCTCATGGCAGTCCAGTTTTTCCTTTTTTTCCCAATCCAACCATTTTTGTCTTCCACGCGTTTGCTCTGTGTGATCAGTGTACTAATTCCCTTCTTCCCCACGATCCTGCAATTGCCGCGCGCCAACGGATAACTGCAAATGGCGCAGTTACTATTTTGCTGCATTTTATTCCTATTGAATAACAGAAACAATTTCAGTGAGAATCGATATCCAGTAAGTGTAATGCAATTTTCGATCCAGTCAGTCTAATTCGTCTGATTTTTGTTATTAATATCAGAACATAGTGCTAATGGAATTCCAAGACATGCTGAATTTTGGACAACATATACTGAATTTGGACTGCACTACTTATTATTAAAAAATACTATACTAACATTGGAAAATGAAAACAAATTTCGTTAAAAAATCCATGGCGGATAACTTTTCGAATTTTAGGTTGGCTTTGTCCTTAATTCCTTGTCTCCAATAAAATTACGGAAAAAAATATTTAATTTCAATTCTAAAATGTGCACATACTTACCTCACTTATCCAGTCAATCGACAAGCAATTGAAGAGAAATTACTCCACATACTTAAACGCATAAACTTCGAAAATTAGTTCTTTCGTAAAAGTCGGTGAACGCCAAACTGACAAGCGAGCTCAGGGTTCGAAATTCAACTCTACTATTACTGAATAACCCCTACCATATAGTAAGTGATCGTCTGCGTCGTCAACGCGTAGGCGGTGTGGCGGCAGCTTGGTGGTATGCAGGTACGCCGCCTCTGTCCCCGCAAACCCCCTCGCCCACAAGCCATCAGCAAGCTGTAGCGCGAAAACTAAGCAATTTAGCGAAAAATTTGTAGAGACCTTTATTGATGGCCCAAAAATTAGAAAAATTTACGTGTAAAAAAATCTCAGATATCCTCAGCCGTTTCAGCGAAAAAGAGGTTTTTCGGGTTTTTCGCTGATTTACAAAAAACGGCTGGTTTCCGGAAAACCAAATTCATACAACAATATTCGCAATCCTTTATTACACCATTACGCCAGCGGAAATAACTTTGTGGCCATGTTATCACTTTTGTCTCAGTTTCGGCTATTTAACTGGCCTAATAAAATACTTTTCACCCATTAAACAGATGGGTGAAGGTCGCTTTTAATTCGGATATTCTACTATTTCATAACTATGCATTAGAGGGGTGATCGACTGGACAATTTTCGAAAAATCCCTTCGTTAAGAAGCCAATTATGTCCGGTGATGGAGCACTTTTTCAGACTACGAAGTTTCAGATACATTATTCGCTAATAGATGTTCGAGACCTTTATACGCCCCGCCTCTCAGGAACAAATCGGTTTTTTGAAAATAACTTGAATGCAAAGTTGTCTTAGAATGACACCCCTTGAATGTTTGCCTTATGTGAGGCAAAGTAATGAACTGTAATATTATTCGGATTTCCGATGTGGAACAACTGTTATCTGCACGAAAGTTTGTTGATAACAGCTCAGGAACTGTGAAAGATAGTACAAACTTTGGTGGAGAAGTATTACACGTTATTGGTCGGGCATTGAGGTATAGGTTTAGGTGCTTATTTAGATTTAAGATTTATACTGTTACAATTCGTGCTGTTTTTATTTCTAGAATCAAATCAAGTTTGCTTCTTGTATGATTTGCTGAACTGTTGAAAATTTTAAATTTTGTCTCATGACTTCGATTGGCGTGCACCTATTGCAATTTAATAGTATTCTCGTCTTCTTATCATCTGCTGAACAAGAAATTAGTAAAGACGGGCAATAATTGAAATGTGGATATATCATTGTTAGTGATTCACGACTTGACTTTATTTTCAAGCTACTTGTCTTGAAATCAAATCAAGCTCAGGTCAAGTATTAGATATTAGCAATTTAAATAAAGATAAGTAGTCTTTACGTCAAGTACCTAACTGAAAATTCAAGGAGTAGATAATTTTTGTTATATAAATTCGAGTAGATGATAAATACACAACGGAATTACTTTGTCACAAGATACAGAGAAAACAATACGTATTGCACAAAATAATTTGTTCATCGTATAACAAATAATAGAACGATAATATATGAAAAAAACTGATACAAAGAATGGGAAAACCGCTTAACCTGTTGCGGGGTTCCGTAATGGTGACTGCGGCTCGAGTAAATTCCCTTTCAGTGGGCTGATATTATGTAGGCGTCGATAAGAAATATCTTGCCATTAAAACTAGATTTGGGAGTACATTTTCACGCTTTCTCCCACCACTCGTGATTATTTGCATTAAAATACAAAATACGGCTCATCCGTTGTACAAATAAATATCATTGAAGGTCTTTAGTAGAACAAAAATATAATTTGCCATCATGTAGTTGCTTGACCTCCAGTCGAGTAAAACAACGAAAAAATCAAGTCGAGTCAAGCACCAATATTTCAAATAATTTTATTATCAAGTAGTTTATAAAAATATTTGAAGCTACTAATAAACCCCTAATTATTTAATTATAAATTATTTTACGTAGCTCATAATACCAGTGAAAAGGAAGAAAAGAACTATGTTGGCTACACTTAGTTATTTATAGTTTTACTCTCATCCATTCACTCTTTTTTTAAAATAAGTTTATATCTGGAAGCAATATTGATTCTAGGGACATTCGATTCACAGAAACACCCACAATGCCCCTTCACAGTACATCATTCTTTAGTAAATACTTCACCTACAACGCAGTTATTTTTTACAATAATATACCCCGAGCCACAAAGTTAGTACCATATGACGAATTTAAAAGACGTAAGAAGAAATTTATTTTGAATAGAAATACATGAATCAGATGCTCCTCACGCCAAGATATTGCTGGTTTGCGAAATAATTGTTAAAGTCTGGTTTTGTTGATGTAAGTTGTTCAAGGGAGTATGAAACATGGACGCATGAAATGGGTACACCAACAGATGATAGATACATCCGCTTTGCGTATGAATATCCTAGCGGATTTTTTCAATTACTCACAAATACGAAATGTTTGAACTTGTTTAGAAGAAAAAGCGTATCCTTCGTTTTTCGCATAAAAATAACATTTATCTTTCGGAATGGTTTGTGATACATATCGGCAAGGTAAAGTGCCCTTTGAACGAACCCTGTATATTGCTCAGTAACTATTAGTGATGGCCGGAAGACAGGTGTTTTGGGCTAAACAATTAGAAATTCTCAAAAAACTACTAGACCAATATAATCCAATTTTGTTGTTATTTAGAAGTATGAATCCTACGGATTTGAAGAATTTCAAGCTTCTGCGTGAAATTATCATCGCATTAGCAGCAAGTGCCGAAACCTGCATTTTGCCTGGGTTATCGGCTATAACTTTTTTATTATTAGTCGGATATGTTTGTGTGTGGTCTCATTCTGTAGGTCTATTCATACCCAAAAATCTTAATTGAAGAATTTTTCGGTTTCTGCCAACACTTTCGATTGAATCTCAAAAAATACGTTTTCTCATTCTTTGTTGAGGAATAAAAAGTTTTCCCTCAAAAATTGGTGTACCCATTTTATGCGTCCATGAACAACTTGCATCAATAAAACCAGACTTTACAATTATTTCGCAAACCAGGAAGATCTTTGTCTAATATGATAGTATTCAAATTTAACGCTTTCCTCAATTTTGTTGAATGTACTGAAAAATATACTACGCTAATCTGGCAAGTTTCAAAATTTTGCACATTTAATAAGGATCCCAAAATGGTATGACACTCGATTATTTCTTGAATTATAGACAATTTTAATGTTTGTAAAGAATGTCAGTTTTCCACATTTTTTTTTATTAATTACTTAAAATTATTCTAGTGTACCCAAGCTTTTCCTCTGAGTGAGAAAGAGAGAGTTATTTTACAAAGTGTGAGCGAGACATTAAAGTGTGATTTTCTTCCAAGCTGAAGCAGTTGTCATTCAATTTTAGGCAACAATTTACAGCAGCATTGTCCAAGATTACCTAATAAAAATAAAATTGAGAAAAAAATTGAAATTTGTAAATAGTAACGTGTGTAGATATTTGTGACTTTTTTTAAAGCCTATAATTTGGAAAGTACCTAGGACTCAGATTTTTTCATATTTTTCTGAATATATTATGACTATCCCCCGTTTCCGGCGTGACGCCGACTTCTGTGACACCCTGTATAACGGTGAAGTAAGATACGCATTCTTATCTGTCCCTGTGCCTTTGCTTTTGCATATTTTGGCTTTCACTCTCCCGAGAGAGGCTAACAAACTTGTAATTTTATGTTTACACTAATCAAATGAAGTTTCTGTTTCTGTAGCTGCCACGCACCATATGACGAATTTAAAAGAAGTATGAAGAAATTTATTTTGAACAGAAATACATACATGAATCAGATGCTCCTCACACCTCACACAAATATTCCAGTATAACATAAC